GGGAAAGATCTGTTATGATTTTTGAACAATGGTATGCAAACTGTTACAGAGTCATTTTGTTACAGGCTTCTTTGTATGAAACTTCTGAATAACCTATTGAACATATTTAAATGTCAGATTTTTTTTGGCACTAAACACAACTGTAAGAGAAATAAAAATTTCCCAGCTAAACAATGCTGCTTTTAATCTGAAAAAAACAACTGAGACAGAATGGCAGTTGCAAGCCTCTAATGGCAGTTTACCAGCATATCCACTGAGCAGTTATTTCCTTTAGCATCCATGATGACTACCAGGCACCTTCCGAAGAGACAAGCTCATGAACGTGACTCACAAACAGCCAGGAAGGCAGGGCAAAGGAGTACAGTAGTAACCAGCAACTTTGTGATAATATAAGGCTATGTTTAATAGGCATGTATGTAGCAATTTACAATATATAAAACTTATTCCCAGTTGCTCTTCAAGCCAAATGTTATCAGTCATCAAATTCCCTGTGTACATCATGAGAGGTGGGACACCAGGGTAAACTTGATCCTAGAGGAGACAGTAAACAAACTTGGGAAGGAGCACTCAGTGTACAGTAAAAGATATTAGTGTCATGGAATGACAAAAAAGCAGATAAGGGTGGCATTTTTGTTTGAAATATGTCAGGGAGGTAAATGAAAAAAAATGGCAAAAGATGAGGAGAAAGAGCAAAGTTATGTAGGGCTTGGAAAGCAGTGAAAGACGACTGAATGCTGACAGAGTCCAACACTGATAGGCAGCTTGCTCCATTTAGATTTGATCTAGATCTGCACAGCAGCAAGTTCATCTTCATGAAAATGCTATCTCAGTACTCTTATCTAGGCTAGGGATAGACATTCAAAAAGCCTGAGCCTGAATTCATTCAATCTTTGCAGGTTAGTCTAACCTGGCTAGGCTGAACTGGTTTGAAACCCGACAGACGTTCTCTCTGTACTGAGGAAATTCAGGCACATGCCTGCAGTGACTCAGGCTAGAAGCTGGGGAGCACTAGAGCAGCCCTCCCTGCCCTTCCACAAGCTATAGGGGGACATGGCCGGGCCCCAGCAGGATGCTCTCATTAGGGAGGTCTGCCTGCACCATCTCAGGATTTCCCCGCTAGCTGCTCAAGAGGCAGAAGTGTTGCCATCCCCATGCTAGCACTCTAAGGCGAGACAGGGGTGTGCAGTGCATGTGTCTGTTGATGATATGGAGCTTTTCAATCTCCCTCCCTCTGCTTGTTTATACTGTCTGCAGCAAACTGACAGGCAAGCAAGCCAGCAGGGAGCTGATAACCGTGTTTATCACCCCATCAGCAAAACAAGAGCCTCCCTCCATTAGTTCAAACTCTTCTTAAACAGTTTACCAGCTGACCTGTTGAAAAAGTCCTAAGCTGTCACTGTTCTGTCTGCTCGTCCCAGTGAAATTGGAGACACACACAGACATTAGCTAGCATACCACATGTCTACAGTCCATGGAGCTAAGGCAGGGGTGGGCAAAACGTGGCCTGTGGGCCAGATGCGGCCTGCCAGGACATTCCATCCGGCCCGCGGGGCCCCTAAAGAATTTAGAAAATTAATACTTATCTGCACCTGGCTGCCTGTCATGCGGCCCTCGGTGGCTTGCCAAAATTCAGTAAGCAGCCCTCCACTCAAAATAATTGCCCGCCCCGGGCTAGGGTCTGTGCTGTGGGAGATGGGAGGGAGGGAAGGGGGGATCCCTGCTTCAACAGTGGGCAGGGAGGTAGGGCAGGGGGAAGCCTGCTGTATCTGCAGTCTCTGCTAGAGCTCCAGCCAGAGAGCAGAAGAGGGGGGCCAGCTCTACTGTGGAGCAGAGAGCCCAGGCCAGAGAGCATGCCGGGATTCTGGGGGGAGTCTGGTTTATCTTATATGAGCAAGGGCTCTGGGACAGGCATTGCATAAACCAGTTTGAGCCAAATCAGTTAAGTCTGATATTACATTCAACCAGGTTTATCTCAAACTGGTTTCAGCCATTTTCAAACTGGTTTATGTGCACTGAACATCTGTTCTGGTACAGGTTTAAACCAGTTTCTGATCACTTAAACTGGTTTATGTGTAATGTCTGTCCCTAGCCTTAGAGGCTACTAAGAAGCTATTTGGGAAGACAGAGTAAAAAGCTACATTATGGCTAGGATGCATACACTATACAAGTAGTATGTAAGAAGGGCTTACAAGGGTTCCATGGGACCTTTAGTCACATGGCCATTAACAGACATGAAAAACAAAGTAAACAAACAAAAAAAATAACCAGTGCCTTACCGAAATAGGAAATGCATTTGTTCAACACGTGTCCCCAGCACCTATATAGATCAGATGCGTCTGCAGGGCTTTTCGGTGTTTTTATCTAATAGTTGATTCAATCTATTAGATAAAAGAGTCAAAAAGCCCTTCTGAAGTGCCCAATCTATACAGACGTTGGGCAAGCCAGGTCAAACTAACGTGATGCCTCTTCTGGGCATGAGCTGCACTTGGTCTAGGGATGCACCAAGCTGAAAATAAAGTGCTGTTTTTGTTTAGGTTTTTTTTCATGTCTATCAGTAGCCATGGATAATAACTAAATATCCATTTTCATTTGAATTGTTTAATTTGTCTAGCGTTAATTTCCACTCCTTCATGCCCCTGCTTCCCAAAGCACTCTGCCCATGTGGCTGTTGTTCTACCAGCTCCAGCTCTTGGATTGCTTTTTCTAAACTTTATTCCTGTTTGATACGTGTATTGGATCTCTCCCTTTTTTCACAGCATGATCCTATTGTACTTTCTGGAATTTGTAACTAGCAGCACTGTATGAAGGTGCAAAAAGTACAATGTTGGCTCTTCAGCTCTGCCCTCTTGATTATCACAGTCCATCAGTACTCCAGACACAATTTTGCTTTTGCTTTTTCTCCCCTTGCTCTTTTATCAGCAATCACACACAGTTAGCTAGGTCAAGCAGGTCTTGCATTTCTCCATGCCAGGTTTCCATCAAAGAAAAATCTTTTTGTTGATATGACATTGATGCCATTCAGCTCAGGCATGAAACACTACCTTTGTTCTAACAAAAACAGTTATAAGACTCTCAGTATGGCAACCATACAATCCTACCAGACTATCTTGATTTTCAAGGTCATTGAAAATGATGTGATTTCTGGTACCAAGTATACAAGTTGATCAATACAAGGATAAATAAAAGGAACATTATATAAAACTTCTAATACTAAGAGTGGAATAATCTACTTAAAAGCATTTTGTTCCTGAAATCAAAACATTTTATCCAAAAGTGTTTATTTTATGAACAAAATACGGCCCTACATAAGGCATATTTTCTAAGCAATCTAGAAAAACAGAACGCTCAAAAAAAGGAAAAGGCAGCCATGCGTTACTGAATGTTTGCAAAAATGTTTGGCAAAGTGCACCTGCAGTATCTGATGGCATTTTTTCTGTAATAACATACAGATTTCCTCCACGCTCAAAGCCTCTTCCTTAAAATGTTTCCCACCCGAGGGCTATCTGTAACAGTTTCTATTGCTCAATTAAAAATAATTCTGGGAGCTCAGCTATATTATAGGTGATAGCTACATTCCCTTGAGGTCAAGTGCTACATCACTACCAGCACCAATGTCTGCTGATTTTAAATTAAATATGCAAGTTCATAGAGACTTATTCTGACATAGGTTACATATTTCAAACACCATAACCAAGAGAAATGGTTTCACTGAGGCAAGTGCAGTATTTATCTTCTGAAGGGAAAGGGGGAAAAAAGAAACAGTTTCACTTCACCTATGAGCTAAAATGTAACCCTTGAATATAAAAATAGTCTCGATTCAGTTACCAATTTTTTTAATAATTTGGAATGTAAAAGTGTATTTGGCAAAATTTAGAAAATGCAGATATCAAATCAAAATTATAAGCCAACAGAGTTGTGATTCTTAGTTATACAGCAGGCAAAGCTGTGTGAACCTTTCCAATTTCAACTCCCATGGATTTTGCCAAATTACATCAGTCCTAGTTTGTGGTTTACATTTTAGCTTTTGCTGTGAATGCTGAACCAAAATAAAAGAGTTTTCCCTATTTTGAGAGTAAACCATGAAAAAACCTGACACATTTTACGTAAAAAGATTAAAATAAAAATGCTATAAATCCATGCGCTTTTCCAGGCTATGGGACTCTGCAGCTTGGAAAAGCACAGGCCCAGGGGTGATCTGGTGGCCACCTATAAGTTTATCAGGGGTGCTCACCAGGGTCTGGGGGAACATCTGTTCACCAGAGAGCCCCAAGGGATGACAAGATCGGATGGTCACAAACTCCTCCATGACCATTTCAGGCTGGACATAAGGAAGAACTTCTTTACTGTCCAAGCCCCCAAGGTCTGGAATAGACTGCCACCGGAGATGGTTCAAGCACCTGCTTTGAATGCCTTCATTTGGATGTTTATCTTGCTGGGATCCTATGACCCCTGCTGACTTCCTGCCCCTGGGGCAGGGGGCTGGACTCGAAGATCTTCCGAGATCCCTTCCAGCCCTAATGTCTATGAAATCATTCTGCCTAACCTATAAAAAGGGAATCTAGGAAACGCCCATTTTGGAGTTCACTTCTCAGCCATGCTTCCTCAAAAGAGTCACAAGCAGGTCAGAGGTCTAGATTTTTACCGAAAACAGTAATCCAGGTAAGCCTTAGTTCCATTACAAGAGTTTTGCACAGTTCTAATTGCTCCAAACAGAATTCACAGCTGTTGCTGGCCTCCAAGCATATTAGCAAGAGCCACAACCAGTGACTGTTACAAGTCTGACTTTAATTTAAATTGATACTAACCTTGGATCCAAAAACATTTTAAGAATGAGATGAAATATGTTAGAATCATTTGAAAAGTTTGTGCTCTTGTTCCATTATGACTTGACTCGTGCAAACTCAATATTCTTCTATGTGAAGGCTTTTTAAAAGCCATTAATAAAATGCAGCTCTGGCTTTACAACGGATGAACAGTCATCACCCATGGCAAAAACATTGAGAGACTGAATTTGAAACAGAGTATTGATTTATGTCTGGTGCCTACCTGTCTATAGGTGAAGATTTTGAATTTCGTGGTTTTTTCACTTGGGCGTACAACGCTTCAACAGTCTGTCCTTCCCTAGGGCTCTGTGGTCTGATATTCAAAGTCATTGTACCACTATTTGAAGAAGAGTCATAAGAAGCAATTCCAGCATACATTGGATCAGCATCACAGCTAAATGTCCGGTTAAACTCTTGGATCTCGGCATAGTCACGTTCACGAGCTTGTCTCTCTCGAAATTCTCGTGTTTTAGCTTGAATTCTGCAAAATTAAAACAAGGCTGAAACTGTATTTTAAAAAAATCATACTAATGTGAAAATACTTTTATTTATGCCAACATATTTTCTTCATAGCAAGTTACTTTTCTCCCTATCTTGCAGGTACTTTAGGGCAATATTGTAGGCACATCATGTACACAGCTGTTTTCAATTTCAGTCTCCATCAGGCAATCTTGTGTTTATTTCAGGTATCTGGTTTGAAGCACTGGGTAAACAAGGTTCCAGCAAGAATAAAGAATTTTTTTTTTTAAATGTCCATGATCATCCCAGGGCTGCCTTTCATTGAAACAGGAATGAAACTGCCTGTAGTTTATTCTATCTAGCTAAAGTTATTCTAAGGTGGCCATTGCCAGAGTAGCTATGTATGTTTAATTCCAAAAGGTCTAGGAACCACAGGAATAACCTAGTTTACTTCACACAGACCTTCAGATTTGATTGATAATTCACTTCAGTTTGGGAATATGCTGATTTTAAGTTTGTCACATTTTAAACATATTTCATACGAGTGTATAGTCCTCAGGCCCCATGCCTTCCACTTCTAATGACTCCATGAGCCTAAAGACCAACATTTTTGTACTTAATACACAATCGCTTGTGAAATATTTGAAAAGGAAATAGAATCCAATTGCCAGCTCATGAAACAGGTTCTTTTTCTCCAAATGCCCCATTTTATTTGGCACTTTTACAAGGCAAATAGATTCTTATACTTCACTTCCATTTGAATCCTAGATGCATTTTACTTGTAGACAAAAGGTAAGCAGTTATGCATATGATGTAGTTATTGACTTGACAAGTGTGCAGATACAAGAATAGTCAACACACAAAAATTACAAAACATCTAAGTTACTATTGAAATTTACTGCAATGCAGACTCCTAAATCATATTAGATGTTTTGGAAAATTTGGCATATAGAACTCTACACAGTGAAATGCAAAAAACCTACTATGAATGCACTATTATCAGTGTAAGATGAAGCATTCAGAAACCAGTTATTGCACAGTTAAATGGGGTGACTTTCCAAAACACTCAGAGGAATAAAAAATTAAGAAAGATTTTCAAAGTTGACTTAAAAATTCTCCTTGAGTTTTGCTGACTAAGAGAGACAACTTGGCCTCCTCAATACTTAGTCATTATTGAAAACAGGTGATAAGCTCACTTTGGCATTTTTGAAAGATTTAAGCAATGGGATATCCTCAATTTGAATCTATTGTGAAATCCTGAAGAGAGAAGTTATTCCTTTCTGTGCTAGCAAAACCCAACATCCTGAGGGACAAAGACACACAGCATTGGTAGTGCTGGTGCCAGATTCCACTCCACAAAGTGAAGAGACCAACTGCAAATGCAAACTACATGCTTGGCCACAATCTCCTGCTCAGTCAGTGCCATTCATTCTTTTATGAGCATTTACAATCCCTGGCCTAGGCTAGGCATGTTATGGGATATTTTCTCACCCATGCATTCTAAGGGTCTTTCCACGGATAGATTCTACCAAAACATTTTACACACACTGGTCTTTGGAATGATTTTGCACTCTAATAGATTTTATGGTAAGAATAAATATGTAAAAGGTAAATTTTTACGGTGAACAAAAAAAGAAAACTTACAAATCACACTAAGACACCTGAACATTAAGGCTAGGGACAGAAATTACATCTAAACTGGTATAACGTATCCAAAGCTGGTTTAAAACTGTAGCAGAACAGATGTTCAGTGCACATAATCACCTTTCAAAATAGCCAAAACCGGTTTAAGATAAACCTGGTTGGACATAGTATCAGACTTATTTGATTTAGGTCAAACAGGTTTATGGAACTTCTGTCCCAGATTCCTTCCCAATTCAAGTCAACTCATAGCTCCCCACCCCAGCATCCCAGAATGCTTTGCAGCCCTGGGTTGTGCTATCTGCTCCAGAGGAGCAGTACTGGCCCCTCCCCCAGCTATCACAGAGCTGAGGCACTAAAGCCCCTGCTCCAGCATATGTCAGCCCAGAGGAATTGGGTGGGAGAGGATGGCAAGGGAATGGACCCCTAGACCACCCATCCTCTGTCAGTACAGGACACTGGGAAGGAAAGCTCTCGAAATGGGGACTTTTCACCCCCACAGTAGCCAGGTAAGCGGGGACAGCATCAGCTCAGCCCCTCTCCAGCCTGTGAAAGGTGGGGGGCACTGGCTCCACACCCTTCTGCAGAGGGGGCAAGGTCAAGGCAATCCTAGCCTGGCTTGCCAAGCTGAGGGGTTACAAAAAGCCCCCCGTGTGGTCTTTCATCACCTCATGCCAGGCAGACCCCAGCTAGGGGTGCCAGGTTGGGCCAGTGTGTTCCTCTCCCTGCCCCCAGTCTCTCACAAGCAGGAGGGCTGGGAAGGGGTCAGGGCTAAACCCCTGCCAGCCTGGTGAGCTGGGCTACAGGGGTGCAAAGAAAACCCTGGTGGAGTTTTACCCCCACCCTCCTCACACCAAGCAGATCCCAGCTGGGAGGGAGGGCAGTGTCCACCTGGGCCACTGTGCTCACCTCCCTGCCCCGTGCCTATCACAGGTGGGGGTTAAGGAGGGGCCAAGGCTCAGTTGATCCCAGACCAGCAAGCTGGCCTGCAGGGGAGTGAAAAGCCTACAGTGTGGGGCTTCCTTCCCCCCCCCCCCACCCCTCCCCACACCAGGCAGATCCTGGCTTGGGGGTCCAGTCTGGGCCAAGCTGGTGCATTCCCCCCACACCGACCTCCCCTCTCAGAAGTGGTGGGCTGGGGAGGGAGCAGGGCTGAACTGATACCAATCCGGCAAGCTGGCCTGCAAGGGAGTGAAAAGCCCCTGGTGGGGGCTTTCTCCACTCCATGCTGGTCAGTCCCCAGGTGGGGGTGGGAGGGGAAGGGGCAGTGCCTAGTTGGTTTTAGCGTTTGCCCCCCAGCCCCTGCCTCTCATGAACGGGTGCTAGGGAGGGGGGCAGGCCTGAGCTGATCGTAGCCCAAACCCCCAGT